GGAGGCCTGCTCAGTAGAGGGAAGGAAGACGGAGGCCTGCTCAGTAGCGGGAAGGAAGACGGAGGCCTGCTCAGTAGAGGGAAGGAAGACGGAGGCCTGCTCAGTAGAGGGAAGGAAGACGGAGGCTCGGAGTCTGATGCAGGAGGGGGGCCGGGAGGCATGTCCAGAGAGGTGGATGGTCCCAGGGTGCCAAGGACCTGACTGACCCTCTCAAGGGCTTTTTTCTCTGAAAGTGATAGGGAGCCAGGGCGTGCCTGTTTAGACGCATGGTGTAAAAAGGTGCGTGGCTGCGTCGTGTGGGTGGGTGGCAGGGAAGAGGGGCTTCTGGCAACGTTTTCTCAGTGGCCTCAAGCCAGTGCCTTCTCTGTGGGATTCAGTTTCTCCCTTTGAAAACCGACGAGGCTGGCCCACGCCGTGAGGTTCAGGTCTGCTCGCAAGCGCGCCCTGCGAAGCTGGACGGTTGTCTGCTGCTCCTGGTGTCTTGGGTTGTCTTTGAAATGTGCATTTGCTCCCGTAGGAAGAAGATGGACTTCGGATGAGGAAGACCGCGCAGAGCAACAGCCCCGTTCCTGCATTCTCTGCGGCTGGGAAGGAGGAGGGCCCCAGTGCCCGGCTCCTGGCGCTCGTGGTGTTGTTCTTCATCGTTGGCGTCATCATAGGGAAGATCGCCTTGTAGAGGCGGCCGGCGGAGGGTGGCTTACTGGATTGATGGCCCGCCATACCGTGGGGTTTGAATTGATCATAACCATGTGTAAAAAGAAGTTAATGTGTGATGACATCTCACAGGTCTTGCCTTTAAATTACCCCCTCCCTGCGCGTGCACACGCGTGCACATACACACACACACAATTATAACATAACAATCTTTTAGAAAGTGAAAAATGTATAGTAAATGATCGGGGGGAAAGAATGGTCTTTATTAATGACGAGGGAAACCGTGATTAAATCGTAATGGCATGTCGTAAGTGTCACTTTAAACATTTGTAGCCTTGGTACCTGTGGCTGGGTTGATTACCTCTCTCAGAACAAGACACTCTTCCTGCCTGTTGGTGCTGGCCCTTGGGGAGCGGGAGCCCAGTGCGGTGGGAGGGCCACCCCTCCATGTAGCAGTCCCCACCTGCTCACCCACCCCTGGGCTGCTGCTCCACGCCCTGCTCTGCCCCGCCCCTGGCCGCTGGTTCCCTGGGACTGATGGATGGGGTCAGAAGCCAATGGCGTTGTGCTGTGGCAGCGTTGGATCTGCCCGTGGGGAGCGGGAGGTGGATGCTGACCGACTAGCCCAACACTTTGGAAATCAAAGTCAATGCTTTGTTCTCTTAAAGGGACCAAGCTGAATTACTGTCGGTTCATGTAGCGAGATTCACTTGTTATTCAGAGATGTTTAATGCATATTTAACTTATTTCATGTATCTCATCTCATGTTTCCTTATTGCCACAAGATTATAATTACTGCTGTGGGCTACACATCACCTGTGCCACCTGGTGCCGCTGGGAGCTGCTGGCATTGCGGCTGGAGAGTTGTGGGCTCCTCTCGGGAGGTTCTCCGGGCCCTGCGTACACGTGGAGGGGTGGCTTGACTGACTGTGGGCGAAGCGCTGCCAGGAAGGTTTGTCTGTGTGACTAGATGACAGCCGTCCAAGGGGGGTTCTTAGTGGCAACAGTCAGCTCTATTCCCTGTCGAATGGAGAAGACTGGCCGGGCTTCCGTGTTGTTCCTCATTGCCCCTCCGCTTCCCGTCGTACTTCCAGCACACGTGCCCCTAGTCTGGTCCTGACCTCTCCCATGTGGCCCTCGCTCGGAGTGGGGCAGCAGGGGCGGCAGCAGACAGGGAAGCAGTGGGGTGGGGGCGGGGAGAGGGGTGAGAGTCTCTTCAGGTAATCGTCGAGTAGTGATTGAGAGTTTGACTGTAAATTAATTTTATGCCATAAAAGACCAGTCCAATTCTGTTTGACTATGTAGCATCATAAAAAGGAAAAAAAAAATAAAGCCCCAGAACTAAGAGTTCTTTTGTCATTTTGTCGCACTTGCTGTGGGGGTTATTATTCTGACGGTCTTTGTTATTGTTTGTCACTGAAAGGTTGGTTCTAAAATGAGCCCCATCAGTGAGAAATCTGTATGCTTAACGACTGAATATATATAATCGTGTGTGTGTGTGTGTTGGCTTCAACGGAGAGCGCAAAAATAAAACTGCTGAAGATCTTAAGCAGCTGGTCACCCTTGCCCTTCCATTGCTTTGCCCCTGGGTGGAAAGAACTCTCTCCTCTGGGTCAAGAGGCCGAGCTGAAGAGACAAGGGACAAGCGTGCTGAGCGTGGCTGCGGGGAGCGGGTGGGTTTGAAAAGACAGAGCCATCAAAAGGAAGACAGTTCTTAGAAGTCATCTGCTTGACTCACATTCCTCCTGAGCTTGGCTGGGGCGGGAGGGCCTTGGTTCTGGCCCTGAGGGTCTGGTCAGGGACCTAGAGCCTGGGAGCTGGGCATCTGCGTCCAAGTAAGTAGCTTCTGTCTTCGTGCGCGGTTCCTGGGTCCCGAGTGCTCACGGGGAACGTGGAGCGGGCCTAGTTCGCAGCCACATGCCCGGTGCTCAGACGGCGTTGAGTGCGTGCATGGGGAGGGCTGCCCAGTAGAAGTTAGGCTCCGGTATTCTCTTGTCCGCGTAGATCCAGGGACTTACGGAACGGGGTGAAAAGACGGTGCCTTCTGGCATTCATTTCTGTAAGTGGACTGCGGTCTTCCCAGGTGTGGGAGCTGCAGCGAACCGGTCCTGGGAGCTTCCAGCCCCTCACAGCCTCAAAAGGACCAGGGTTGGGAAGGTCTCGGACTGTTCCTCGGAGTGCGGCACAGCCCCATTTCTCTGGAGCAGGACTCCCCAGGCATTTTCTCAAGGGGTGTGGCTGTGTGTTCCCATAAAACCTGATTCGCAGGAACAGCTGGTGGGATTTGGCGTAGGACGCTGGAGCTCGCCTGCGCTTGCTCTGGGACGACTGAGTTCTTAAAGATGGTGCCTCAGGTATCCGTTCTGTTCTCGAACCTGGCGAGTGACTTTGTGTTTTGTGTATATGCAGGAGGCGGCATTCAGCTTCTCAGAAGATGTGGGCCTTTTGTTTGTAGCTGAAAATGAGAATTTAAAATCCACCGTTGCCTTCTTTCTCACTAGTCATCCTGTAAGATCTCTTGCTCCTTTAGAGGTTAAGGTTCGGCGAACGCAGGTTAGTTTACGGGGCTTTTTGACTGAGCAGAAGAAGGGAGCTCCCCAGGGAGAGAAGGAAGGCAGTGGTGGGAAGATTGGATATTATGTAAATCATCCAGTCAGTAAAGAGCGAGCCAGGAGAGGGAGAGAGTGTGCGGCGCAGCACGGCTAAGGGTCAGGGACCGTTTGAAGAGCCACAAACACTCAAAATCTCAAACGTGGGCAGGTATGCACCTTTTGAGTGTCTTTCCTGGAATGACAGAAAAGGAAGCCTGAGAGTCAGGCGGAGAGGTAGATGCACTGTCCCCTCCCATGGCCTGGCCTGGCCGAAGAGGGAAAGAGTCAAATAATCCGAATAAACTGGCCCAGCCTGAGCAGGGCTGACTAAGTGAGCCCGCCCGCCTGCTGCCTGGGGCACCTCTTTACAGCAGCTCGGAGAGCGGTGCCTTTGTTTCAGAAATCTGCCACCGAGCCCGCAAACGCAGAAGAGACGTAAACAATAACAGGGTCCTGTAAATTTTTATGGATGAATTTTTAAATTGATAATTTAAGCTCCCTCCGCACAATACAGAATACTTCTTAAAGTACAAATACTTATTAAAATACAAAATACTTCTTAAAATACAAAATACTTCTTAAAGGCGGCTGGATGTATTATTTGTAGGTATGAGGACCGGCTTTATTATTTTTTATCCTTCTCTTAGTTTGCATGTTTTCCTTCTCTCGTCTTCTAAATTGCTGGCACCAGCAGTAATAAATACTGATAAAATCAAAATTGATTTTTAGCAGTGGACAGTTTATGCCTAGAGAGACGGCTTATACCTACATAACACAGAAGTGGGAAAAATGAGGAACCTCCAGTGATCCGTGAAAACCTGAACGCTTTCGAACAAATCCCAGGAACAGAACTGCTGTCCACAGATATCAGTGCCGTCTTGCAGGCTCTGCTGGCTCAGATACAACTGAATGCAGTGATAGCTCAGGGCTAAATAGCCTTTCAAATTAATTTGAAAACAAGCTCTGTGTGTGTGTGTGTGTGTGTGTGTGTGTGTGTGTGTAGCATATGTATCATATGTAAGTAGCTTAACATTTTTCAAATGGTACCTCTATTTTTTGCACACACAAATATTTATATTTGCAAACTCAGAAATCCATGCCAAAACACAATACCATTTGTCATTTTCAGTCCCTTCTCTAAACTGGACCATTCACAAGTTTCTGGTTACGGTTTGTGAAATTCTTGGTTTGAAAGGAAACAACAGGGAGTGAGATGGGGCCCAGGCGTCCTCGTCCCCTTGAGCGCGGATCTGCCAGCCCCCCCCCCCCCCCCCCCCCCCCCGCCCCCCCCCCCCGGGGGCGGGGCCCCCCCCCCCCCCCCCCCCCCGCCCACCCTGGGAGCCTGCCTCAGGTGACGAGGCTGCCTCGCCCCCTGCTGGTGGTGGCCACTCCCCGAGGGCATCTCGAGGGCTCTGGGGTCCAGGGCGGCCTCCCCTGTCCCTGCCCGCGGTCCGTCTGGCTAGAGGAGGAGCAGAACAAGGTCCAGCTCTGGAGTTACGAAGTGACCACCGCGAGGCATCTGCCCACAGTTAAGCACAGGCTTGCCTGCTCTTGCTGGTGCAAACGCTCACGGAGGTTGCTGGAACGGCACCTGTCCTTAGAAAGTCCCCTGACGCGTAGAGGGATGGCTCCGGTTCCTGTGCACAGATCTGCTAGGGCCTGTGGTCACCACAGGTGCCACACGTCGAGTGGGGCCCCTCGGGGTTTCTGTGGCCCAACTGGCTTTGTGGACGGCTTGTTTCCTTTTTTAACCTTCCTCCTGCGGAGCTGCGTTGACAGGAACCTTTCAGGGAAAGTAGCTGCTGTTCCAGTGCTCCCTCAGCCTTGTGCAGAGCCCTTCCAGAACGTTCGCTCAAACAGCTGCGACGGGAGGGCGGGGGTGCAGGGATGAGGGCTTTGTTTCGAACGAGAGGAAATGAAGTCTCCAAGAGGTTACGCTGAGCAACTTCTCAGAGCCTCTCATTAGGAACGAAGTCGGTCTCAGGGAGCCCACAGGGAGGCCGGCATGGCCACGGCGGGGTCTGGACCGCGGTCCCACCCAGACGGGCCGTGCGGAGGCTCTGCTGAGTGAGCTCGCGGGCTCGGGCGCTCCGACCACTTGTGTCCGCTTACGTGTCTGTCTGCCCACCTCACGCGGTTGCTCTGAAGGTCCAGTGCACAGAGTCCGGACGCTGATTGAGACGCTTTTTTATTTTTCTTTTTGAAAGCAAACACGCTCAGACAGGGAAGGACAGGTGTGTTTTCCATTTTCTCATTGCCTGGAGATCTCTGCCTGATGCTTGTGGGGGATGAATTGGGGGAAGGAGATGCCCAGTCCATCTCGGCGCGCGGGGGACGAGGCTGCTCTCTGCGGGGCTTGACATAGCTCGTAAATTAAATGTGAAGCGAGGGCGGTCCATTGAAGTTGGCATCACAGCAGTGGCCTGCGGGGTTTCAGAACAGCCAAGCTTCTGGGCACGGACCTCTCCCCGAGTTAGTGCTGCCTTTCTCTGGGAGAGCCTGGAAGGAAGCAAGTCCCAGGGTCCAGAGGC